TCGGGTCGGCCTATACTCGAGTATATACGGTATATGCATCTTTAATATTAACCTCCTTTTCTGTAAGATCTGCTTGCAAGATGCTGACTTTCTCTTTAAGGTCTTTTATATCCTTTTTATGGCTGTCAATCTCCTCTTGTTTTTCTCGCTCATCTCTGTCACGCTGCTCCTTGAGTCGCTCAATAGTACGCTCCTGGCAAAAACAGAATATTATTGCATAGAAACGTAATCTTTTGAATGTACATAAACATGGTTGATTTCAGAATTCCTGTCTCACTCAGAATACAAGCTTTGCTAAATTCAATTTACTGGATTTTAAAGGATATAGAGAAATTTGATTTTAAATAAATGCTTGTAATCATTTTATTTTGAAAACATTAAATGGTCAACATTTGAAATAAATGAATTTATTAAATAAACTTCCAAGGATTTTTATTTCCAGAAACTAAGAATTGAGACAGCACTCGTTGTTTCTGAAAAAGGCATTACTAACATTAACAAAAATGACAAAGAATGCAACATAATGCTACAAATTGCTAAGAAAGAGGCTTCACAATGGAGGCATCAGGCTTTGCTATATATGAGAACCATTAAAACAAGCAATTGCAGAAAGATAACAGTTCTAGTTTTCTTAAAAAACATTGAAAAACATCACTGACTACTTTGAAACAGCCTTTTACAAATTTATAAATTCACTTTAGAGTGAATTTATAAGTGTAGCCACACTAATTACCTGCAATTCTTTCCGCAAGGTAAAGGGAAAGCAAAAGAAGTTAGCATTCAATTTGTGGTATAGGTGGCTGAGTCCTAATATAAAATACTTACCATTTCTCTACAGAAAAATCTATATACTACAAAAACTTTCATGTCTCTGCTTGGGCAAAATCAGGGTAAAACCTTTTGAACCAAGGCACCTCAAATGGGCTAATTTAGAGAATGTGTCCAATATCTGGGACCCATGACTCCAGTAGAATTGAAATTTGGCAAATGTTATAAAACATTTATGTCATAAAATGATCATAAGTAATTTTCAACAAAATATCATAAACATTTTCTGTGGTCAAGACGGGCAACTTGCAAAGCACGTACATATCTGAATGTCTCCTTGAATTTTTAAGAACTTTTCTAGTGAATGCAATACATTAGAAACTGCCATGGTTTATGATATTGAAGAATCTGGCAAGGAAACGTTTCTAAACAATGACCCAACAGGTCACTGATTGTTTATGCAAGGGTCTCCAAATTTGGCAACTTTAAGACTTGTGGACTTCCACTCCCAGACTCCTTCAGCCAGCCATGCTGCCTGGGGAATTCTGGAAATTGGAAGTTCACAAGTCTTAAAGTTGCCAAGTTTGGAGACTCCTGGTCTAGTGAGAACCTAAAATTGTTATGCAAGATTATTTTCATTATTTAATGTTAAAGTCATCAAAATCCTATGGACACCAAGATTCCACTTGAATAAACAACCTTGACAATGTCATTATTTCAATTCATTTTTCCCCTTCGACTTGGAGGGAGGAAGGAAGGGGTCTGTTTGTTTCATAAATTTTCCCCTTTTCCTTTATTTTTTATCATTACCAGGATTAATAACTTTGTATTATATTGTTAATGCCATGGTATGCACTTATATTTTTCTTCATTTCAACCAATAAAATAAATGAAAGAGGACACAAGAGAATTACTTCTCAAACAAATGTCTACAGGGATGAAGGCAACATCTTTAAATAATGTTATCTCCTTTCCTTCAGACTTACCTTTTCTGCAAGTGCTTCCTCTAGTGTAGTCAAGGCTGTATCAGTGTTGGTGGTATCAGCTTGCAGGGATTTTACTCTTTCTTTCAAACTGCTCATTTGTTTCTCTTTGTCTCTTAGTTGCTCCTGAAGATTCTCAATCTTAAAGGGAAGGACAGGGAACATAAAACTCAGGGGCCACAGTTAGGGATCAGAGTTCTCAGTATCCTAATCCTAATTGCTATTCTCTACTAGAGAAAGATCTCATAGCCACTACTCTCTTTGGCCATTATTTTTATTGTGGTCCTGTGATTCAGCCACAATGTTTGACCTGCAAAAATCCAGACTACCACTAGATACAGAAAGTTCTCCTTGTTGATAACAGTCATTCAGATTTTTTAAGTCCAGACGTTATGCTTCTATTGTGCAGAATCTAGAGACGGGGCAACAAGGAGGAACACAGGAAGACCTCCGATGCTTTAAGGCTTCTTCTGCCTTTATGTAACTGAACCCAACCCTTTGGCCTCAAGTTCAATTCTGTCTCCAAAAACATGATGCACTTAGGATCCATGCGTGTCTGAATAAGAAAGCACTTTCTTATCATTGCACACCAGAACAAATAGGGCAGTTTCCCCACCCCATGCCATCACTCTGCTAAACAACTAATTTCCACAACACTGTCAAACTATTTAGTAAGGCTGTATTACCATTATTCTTCTCATCTTTCCTATTACATATCTCCTTTTCTACTTATGACTATAACTTAGTTGCTTGTATCTTTAAGATTTATATTGTTTTATTTAGTTTCCTAGTATGATTTATGTTGATTGCTTATTTAATATCCTATGACTATCACTGTGTTGTATCTTATGATTTATGAGGAATGCATTTTTATGATGACTATGATCATGATTTATCACTTATAGTTTTTATGTACACTGAGGGCTCATGCACCGAAGACAAATTCCTTGAAGACAATCACACTTGGCCAACAAAGAATTCAATTCAATTCTATCCCATCCCTATCCCTACCCCTATCCCACTTAACTCTGAATAAGAAACTAATGGTATCAGAAGTATGGCTTTCAGGAAAGGGTTAGGGTTAGGATTTAGAGGATTTCCTTTCCATTAAAGTTTATGATGTATTTGTCAAGAATTTAAAGTGTTCCAAGGTATTTTGCTGAAGTGACCAACTACTATCTCCCTGGAAGCTACAATATTTTATTAGCCAACTGAACGAACAGTTAATTCAACTGTAGTTAATGTTAAGTCTTACAAACTCATTTTCAGTTCAGTAGCTAAACAAGCAGAAGACGAGGGCATGTATCTTTAATCAGTTGGTGGGCTATAATAGAAACATAGTAATAAAAGTAAGTATGAAGGGTCTTCACAGGGATATAGAGAAAGTCTGATCTTAGGATCTGTACCAGCAAGTAAGCGGGAATCTCTACGCTTTTAACACATGTTCCCAAACTGACTTTAATTGAAACATCAATTCTATTTTCCAAGTCAATGATTTATTACAAAGTTCAGAAATCTGTAATACAAATCCACATGGGAAATTCTTCAGAGAATGGCATTTATCATAATTGCATGTGAGAAATGTCTAATCAGCTATTACTGTCCTATTTAATTTTTTGTGGATAGAAAATTTAAAAAAACACAGGAAAAAGTTGTACATACTGATGGAGGGCTGATGGTTGGGCTGTAGGAACTTCAGAAAAGATTACACAAAAGAGATCAGAGAAAAAAATTATCCTTCTGTCTGGAAAAAAACTGCTGGATGTGTGTGTGTGTGTGTGTGTGCACGCTTAATTTTAAAAATAAATAGAAGTATGATGTACAATTCAAACCAATAAAATAACAAACTAAAAATGCCATTCAATACAGCCATAAAAATACAACCTCTTTCTAATAGAAATGCCTATTTAAATCAGTTTAAAATGTAAAACTGTCTCAGCTATCTAAAAGTAATGGAGACCATATGCATATTTCATCAATCCATTGTGTCCTCTGTCTCTCTCTTACACACCCTGGGAAGAAGATTAAAGAGGACCTATTAAAATTAGAGTAAAGCTCATAACATAGGCATACAAGCTCTGTAGGACATTTTAGCCTATAAATCTATTTTATTTCTTGTACAAGCTATCACACTGCTTGTTTTCTCTCAATTAATATTAGCAAGTAGTTCATATAAATAGCAGTCGGGAAGTCTTTCACAGACTTCACTGAAACAGTCTTAACACATTTTTAAGAATGTCAATAATGATTTGGTTCTGTAATGCTTATATATATTAAAATATAGTAGAATGCAAATATAATAACATGAAATAACAGTAAGCAAAAAAAAAAGCTTTCTGCATGTTTTATATAATTCCTAGCACTCTTACAAAGAAAATCCTGCCCACTTAAACTAATTACTGAATATAATTGATAGGCACTTTAAGATCAACAAAGAGACACTGATATTGATATTCAAATAATGTTTTAATTTAATGAGAATTAGTTAAGTAAAAATGACTAAAGCTTCTTTTTCATTCTACTGCAAGGAAGAGTTACAATACTCAAGAGGTAATCTTAAAACATCTTGTAGCTAAGACCTTGTATGTCTTGATGAAACCATTTTTCCCAGACTTCTCCTGGTTAACTCTAACCATTTATTTGAGGAGACTGGAATAAGAGAAGTGCTACAAGAAAGAGAACTGCTCAAAATATCTAGGATCCCTTTATTTATTTGTTCAATTTATATTCCACTTTTTGCTCAATTAAGTATTTGAAGCATAGGTTTCTCCTGATGCTTGAACTATAATTTCATGATTCCTTGCTACTTTAGTCTGTATTATTGAAGAAGGAGGGGCTGTACCCAAATAATCTGGAAGGAAACAGGCTGATTATTATGCAATATAGTTTGAGCAATTAGTTTGTTTGATTAGGTTTTTCCCCCCCAAACTAACTGTAACCAGACAACACACTGTTTATATAGACATTGAAACTGTTGCTTTTCTATATGTAGCAAAAATAAAAAAGATATTATACAATATAGTATCATTAGTTCATAAATGTCTAACAAAAATTGTAGTTAACGTGTACTTAATTCATGCTTCCATAAGTATTAACTTAGGGCTCTATGTGGCAAGCATCCATAGATTTTAAAAAAAAATAAAAGCCCCTGTGCTTTGGCCCTATCAAACTATAGTACTTATGCAGCAAGAAAAAATAACAAAATTATCCTGAGATAATCATTTAGTAGGAACTTGATCAAAGAACAAAACAGCTCATAGAATGTTTTCACTGATACTCTCAATTGTGTTGTGAAACAAGCGAGCAGGGAGACACATTTGTTAAAAGTTTCTGCAAATAGAAAATATTCACTCCAGATAAGTATGAAATTACTGCTTCTACAACTAAAGAAATAGAATAGAATTCATTATTGGCCAAGTGTGATTGGACGCACAAGGAATTTGTCTTTGCTCTCAGTGTACATAAGGAAAATAAAATTCATTCATCAAGAATAAAAAAAATACAACACTTAGTGATAGTCAACGTTACTAATAAGCTATTATTATTGTAAGTATTAAAAACTAGAACAGTTCTAGACTATTATTTGAAAAACCTACATGTGTGATTTGCATAATCTGCATGAAATATCATATGTTTATGCTGATTGCATAATCATTTTAGCAAGTGATGCAGAATCTGTCACTCCATTAATGAGTGTTACAGTGAATACAGTTGAGGCTAATCAGATGATATCTTATCCATATATTATTACAATTCATGTACTGCTTAATTTAGCATAGGAATCATTGTTAATTATCATGGTTTTATAAATATGTTCATTGGTATAAATATGTTCATTGTTACTAGAGTCAAAGAAGACTCAGTCAAGAGCTTCAGAAAACAACTTTACAGCTGAGGCTAGTGTTACATTCTGGTGAAAATAAAAAAGAGTTCAGTTTTTAAAACAATGTTTGGTAAGCCTACCTTTTTTTGAAGAATGTTAACCTTGCGTTCTTTCACATCAAGCATATCCTTGAGATCATGAATCTCTCCAGCTTGAGTTCCCTTCTCCTCAGCCATCTCTTGAATTTGCTTAGTCTTTTTGTTCAACATTGCCTCCTTCTCTTCCAAGCGCAACCGAAGTGCATCTACCTGAATTCAGTCACATGGGGAAAAAACCCAGTTTCTTCTCATTAAAATGCTTTTAAGCAAGTAAACACTGCTAACAAATAATTGATCTATCCATGTGTACTGTATTTATCTTCTCTTCCTCTCTAAGAATTAGTAAACCGAGAGGGCAGATCTCTCCCTGTTGGACTTGGGGGTTCTCTGTTGCTGTTCCCCACTATAGGGAGAAGGACCTATTTCCATGATGGCGAACCTATGCTGAACTCTGAAGTGACACACAGAGTCATGTCACCTGGCATGCCCGTCGCCCGTTCCTCATCTAGATTTCTGATGCACAGGCAACAATCAGTTGGTCTTTGTGTGTGCAGTAGTGCCGGAACCAGAAGTAGTGGTCTTCCATTTTCCGGCATGAGCATGCACGCTGGCCAGATGATCGGGGCATGCGCAGCAGTAACCGGAAGACTTGCTGGCATGCGCGTGCTGGAAACTGGAAGTTCATTTTCTGGTGTGCACATACCCCCTGGGCAGCTCCTCTTCCTTGTCGCAGCCCAGACGAGCGCGCATGAAGTGCTCTTTTTTTGCACTCGGTGCCGCACGCATGTGCTCCCTTTTTGGCACTTGGTGCCGAAATGGTTTGCCATAACTGACCTATTTATTCAGTCTGACCCAGCTTAGAGTAGTTCCTATAGCTATGGTATGTGATTCTGCTGAAGCCACAATTTAAAATGAGCAAGCAATGTTGGCCTTGAATTGGAGACCCACAGAGTCTCTGATTTTCAGATATACCATGGGGAATGAAGGGACAAAAGAGCCATCCATAGAACTGCTGGAGAAAGAGAAGCAACTCCAACTAAGCACAGATAAAGGTCTGTATTAAGGACCAACCTGTGGCAATTTGGGAGGAGGGGAAGGCCTACTTATTTCTTATTGTGTCCACAGACTGCCACCCAGTGATCATATTTTGGCTGACCAGGTTGCTGCTGGATGCAATTCAAGGTATTGGTTGTCATCTTTCAAGCCCTACATGGCATGGGGCCAGGTTATTTGCTGTAATGGTATCCACATACTCCTGGTCCCCTCAGTGAGGTATTGACCCCTGATAGATCCTAGGAAGCAGTTCCTGGAAAAGTCTTCCCCCAGAAACCCGGACAATCCCAGTGTTACTGGGCTTTCATAAGATCATGAAGGTATCCCAGGTATTGGCCAGGGTGCTAATTTGAATGCATCAGTGAGGATGTGTAGCATAGGTACTTTGTTTCTTTAATGAGAGGCCTTGGACCTGGATTTCTTTCTTTTTTTTTTACTTTTGATGTTTTAAACTGGATAGAAAGGCAGCTCTAGAAATTTGATTAACAAATAATACATGATGAAGAATTGGTGTTAGAAACTGATTTAGGGATGGAGGTGGTTAAAAAAATAGGAACTTGAGAAAGGAATGACCAAATTCTATTTTTTAAGTTCGTAAGAACAGGGAAAAGTCTCTTATTATACTAGAAATTGGAATAAACCATATCTTTGAATGTTCTTCTTATCCTGTATGGTACAGTAGTGAATTTTGACTATCAAACTGATGTTCTCTACTATCACTGCAGTTCAGATTCCTTGACAATATAGCTAAATTATTATTTTCTACGGTTTCTTGTGTGTATATCAGGCAAACAGGGATTTATTAGACAGCTGCAATCAAATATACAGGTAAGTTCAAATGGTTGCTAAACAAGAAGTCATTAACTAAGGAATACTTCTCTAATTACAGGTATACAATGAACGCATGTGCATATATAAAATTAAAATTCAAAATCACAGTGAGTATCCTAAATATTTTATTTAAATATCAAATTACTTTATATGTGCAGAAAAGACAAAACTGGGATGTTAGTAAATATCTTCACATGAGAAAATGATACATTTCTTGGGAACTGAATTCATGTTTCTACACTGAATTGGCAAGGGGTAGGCCAAATAACTGGCATTTTTTTAAAAAATCCCAAAACAAACAAAAAGTATTTTAAGAAAACTATTTGGCACAATATTCTTGTAAGCCAAAGGAATCACATGCACAGTAATAAAATTAAATATAGATGAAGCATTTTATTCCAAAATAAATGTTGGTTTATATTTTGCTTTATTTAAAAAAAATATTCTAAGTTCCTTGGCCTATTCATAAAGCCTCTTTCTCGAATTCAAACTTGCTACAATATCCTCTCTACCTATTTGCCTTTCGGAATAAACAAGCTCAAGATATTTTGTATTTCAGACCACTGTTACAAAAGTCACTGCCAACTTTAGGCAACTTAAAACAAAACAGACGTACCACATAAAAACATACCACATTTATAAAAATTTATAAATCCAATGGTATCCGTGGTAATCCATATCACTGATTCATAAATTACCCCAAAGAAATTCATTATATGCAGAAAACATATTGAATTTCTTGGCCACTGGCAAATGAGAAACATACTGGCAGCTGTTATTAATTCATGTTCTCTCTGAAGATACATATTTATGTACTAAATAACAGAAGCCCATATTGCTTTAAAGGCCAAAAAAGTATATATTTTTGGGACCACAAAATAATTTGTAATAAAGATTTAAGAAATGTCATCTCCATTCCTTATACCATTAGAGACCATTTTTTTTATTATGATGCTTCACAGAAGCTCTCTCCATTTAACTTTCACCATACAATTTCCTGTACAGTTTTTGTTTTCTCTTTCAGACTCTTTTGTAGAAATATTCAGTAAGAGATTATACAAAGATTGTCTTGGCCCTCCTCAAACTGCTAAATGGCTAGGTTTTTAATTAGGTAACTGCAAATTGTTAGGCTAAACATTTAAAGGACACTGTAAATTTTGTAAATCAAATTAATGTTAGGGGGAAAAAAGCATTTTTAATAATAATATAAATTAATGGGTAAAAATATCCTGAAATTTAAAATTTTGTCAATTTAGGATGTTTCAACTTTCAGAACCAAAGCAGTGAATTATTTAACTGCTAAGAAAGAATTCAACTTACAGCTATGAAAATGATCACTTCGTATTTTGCAAACTGTTTCCCAATTAGGTATTTGCAATCTATGTAATCTTATTCTGATGATTCTAACAGAAGACAAATTTTAATAACTAATATACTGGCGCCCTCTTATGGCTAATATATATAACTTTAGTTAGCCATAAGGAAGCAATTACACACACACACACATAGACAGACACAAATATACATATACAGTTATTTAATGTTTATATTGAACATTTCCCATTTAAAAATGTAATGGAAGTTTTACCAACACCTATACGTATTATTTTCAGTACACATGGTCTGCTGGAACGTATTTTTAATCTATGACAAACAAATACATTCCAAAGCAACATTTTAGCCAATGGCAATACCACTGTTAGAGTAAAAGCCACAAGAATGCTTGATTTCCCCCTTATATTTAATATATTGATATATTTAAAACATAGAACCAAATAACCAATTCCCTGTCATTCATTTTTCAATGTCAAGTTTAAAGGACTTTTGTAAATAAACTTCTCTCTTTTAAAGACCGGAATCCTAATCAATGAAATTGATAACTTACTCATACCAGTAGTCCTCAACTTATGACTATTTATATAATGATGATCCAGAATTACAATGGCCTCAGAAAGGGTGCTTTATAGCCTATAAAGTACTCCTGGTCATTGCAAAATGTTTCCCCCACACAACTCAAGGTCATATGATTAGGATCCAGGTGCTTGGCAACTTGTTAGCCCTTGCTGAATGGTGGAGAATCAATATTGAGGGATGAGAAAGAGCTTCTAGAGTTTGTCACCCGCTACAAGTGATCATGTGACTAATGTTTTCTGCCACCTTCCCTAGAATGTCAGTGCGAAAGCTGCCAGATAAGGTTGCAAGCTGCTGTCTCCTGCCTAGAGGACTCCCTCTCATCTTTGGGGTTGGCTGAAAGAGCTGCTTTCCAAGGAGAGCTTAAGTCCTTGGAGGGCATTGAAATGGTGTGTGTGTGTGTGTGTGTGT